GGATGACTAGTAAATTAATATATGTAATATCTTAAATACAACTTATCGTACTTTCTAAATACCGGGATATTAGTTAAACTAGTTTAATTACTGATAGTTAAAATTAATATATGTATATCTTTAAATACAACTTATCGTACTTTCTAATTCCGGGATATTAGTTAAACAGTTTTAATTACTGATGTTAAAATTAATATATGTATATCTTTAAATACAACTTATCGTACTTTTCTAAATCCGGGATATTAGTTAAACAGTTTTAATTACTGATGTTAAAATTCATGAAATTATTGATATCTCAAAGGTAGAAGGTATTTGAACATCAAACCTAAATCATCTTCACATGCTCGTAATTTAATGTGGGGACTTTCAACAACATCTAATCTTACTTTCGATCAGAAACAGGTGGGCGGGAATCAGCCGATTGAGGGCGTTGTCGTGTGTATGTACTCTTATAAATCACAAATGAGTTAATTGCCTGTGTGTTTAATTTAAAGATATTCTTCCTTCTTCTGTCAAGCAGCTATAAATTAGTTTACTACAAATATATTGAATAAAACTACCCCCTCATGTCGTACAGCTTTGTTGAATATCTTAGGCTTAAGATGTGGTTATACTTTATTTGGGTATTAGCGCATGTTTCATAATGTTATTTTTGATACTTATTCATTAACAATTTAAGTTGATTAAACATATGTCATTAAACTCAGGTAATGTTTATAAATATACAGCATTAATTTTAATGACTTTGTGCATGAGACGGTAAACATTGGAGAGTACCAAAAACTAAGTTATTCTTTGAAGTTCAGGTGTTTTCGAGTATAGTTCTTCTGTAAATAGATGCTACAAGTTATATACTTTATTTTCAATGAAACTTTTTCAAGCTAAAGCTGTCCAAAACAACAGATTTTTCCCTTCTTCTCTTGAAGCTTCAGTAAATATACCGCCTTTACTCAGTACAACCATTTGGTTGTTGTATTAGTGAAATAAATAAATTATTTTCACTGTTTTATACTGTGATCAGTTTCTTTATACTTCTCAAACCAGTCATACAGAGCTAGAGAATTCAGATTTACTCTTACTAAACATTTCCTGCCGAACCGAACCTCCTGTTATTTTGCGGGACCTAACCGATTACTTAGTGTATCTGAGAATATCCCAAAAGTTTTCAAATTCGATGACGAGGAACCCACTTTGAGACTAATAATGGCTGGAGACGGCTTGAATTGGTAATTAAGAAAAACTTTAATGTAAGTTTAACATAACAGCAAATGTACAACGTTTCGACAAGGTTTTGATACCTGATGATGACAAAACTTTGTCGAAACGTTGTACATTTGCTGTTATGTTAAACTTACATAAAGTTTTTTTTTACATTACCCATTCAAGCCGTCCCCAGCCATTATTAATCCCAAACGTTTAAGAGATCAACAACGCGAAATGTGATTTAAAGATTATGATTGATATTGTAATTCATAACCCGAAATATGGCGTTAGTAATTTTTTTAATCTTGAAATATTTTAGTAACAGATACATCTTCTAAGTTCTCACAAACCTAAGTCCAGAAGAAATAGTTTTATTCACTCAGACATTTCGCTTCTTCAGGAGCACACTTACTTACCATTTTTTGAGTTTTTCGGTCGTCAAATGTTTTTCTTCTAAAATCAAATGTTTAGTGCTCTCTAGTTTTTTATTGTACTAAGTAAAACAGCGGAATGTGATAACTTCTACGCGAGACACTGGACACTTAACAATACTCTCTATCTATCTGTTCCGGCAAACTTACTTGGACTATTTTCTCTTGATGTATCTAAATACATCATTTTTGAAATCTAACTTTTCCACTAGACCTGGTAGTTAGAATGTTCTTCTCGTAATGTACGGGTCACGGGTTCGAGTCCCCGTCACCGAACATACTCGCCCTTTCAGCTGCCGGACTGTTATAATGTGACGACGGTCAATCCTACTATTCGTTGGTAAAAGGAATAGCCCAAGAGTTTACGATGGGTGGTGTTAACTAGCTGCCTTCCCTCTAGTCTATCTCTACGAAATTAGGGACAGTTAGTGCAGATATCCCTCGAGTAGCTTTGCGATAAATTCATACCAAACTTTTCCACTTCAGAAACGATGGAATACTCTGGCTAGGTGATCTCAAATAATGCTTAAATTATTAGAAGTGGTTATTGTTATTGACCTCTAGTCAATAAGTCAGATCATTACCAATACCCAGTGACCAGAAATACGGGCTTAGTATTTTTCTATCTTTTAATATTTTGCAAACAGCTACACCTGCTAAGTAGGTGGGCAAGGATCAGCCGACCGAGAGCGTTGTCATACATATGAAATCTTATAAATCACAGATAGGCTAATTTAGATCCTTGCTAATTTGAATATTCCAAGTATTTTACTGGTGTCGATCGTGAAATTTCTAATGATGAAAGGTGGTTAATCAGCGGAAACGAATTCGTTCTTAGATCATATACATGATTTTGTGGAAGCGAAATAAAATGCATGCATGCAACGTTGTTCTCCACATAACACCTAACATCTAAACAAGCACATATGAAAAAACATAATCAAAAGAAATCAGCACAAAGCTACACAAAGGGCTATCTGTGCTCTGTCCAACACTGGTATCGAAACCCGGTTTCGAGCGTTGTAAGTCCGCAGACATACCGCTGTGCCACTTGGGGGTGCGCGATTTGAAGCGTTTCAATTTTTGAAATCAGTTAGTATATAAAGTATATATAATGTTATATGAAGTTATGTACATCGAAATTATTTATAAGTATTTAGTTGAATTGATGAGGAATTAATTGTATTTTTATATATTTAGGGTAGAATATCATCTTCTAATAGAGCATCTTATGTCTGTCTGTACACTATATATATACATCAAATACGTTATGAATGGATGGTATATTCCTTCTATAGTTTAACATAACCCTGCCATGTTGTGTTAATTATCTGAAGTGGTATCTCCTGCACTGTTGTGAAGAACATAAAAAATTATTTTCCAACGTTTCGTAATGCTTTAATATACAGTTTTTTAGAGTTACATTCCCGTTTTTTAAAGCTGAATGTTGTTATAACAAGTACGTTGGATAATAAAAGTGGTTTGAACATTATGATGCAAACAGTTCAAATTTCGCGCTATTTTTATGCCACATTTCATTTTAATTGAACATAAGAAGGCTTTCTTTATATATAGACTCTCTGAGTATTACGTATATTACAATACGTGATGTCCAATAAATAGTTGCGAACATTATGAAAATTAATTTCCTGAATTTATTTTATGATTAATCATGTATGCATTTGATGTTTATACAGTCATTAATTGTAAAGTAACTGTTTACATTTATATAGATATCCAAGAAAAATATAAGAAATAAAGTCAATAAAGAGTTGTCACAGTTTTTATATCTTAATTAAAAAGGATCCTAAAACTTAATGAAACTTTGTAGGCTTGCACTAATACATACGTAACAAGAAAAAACAGTACATCAGACTTACAAAGTCAACGTGAACTGGTGGTCTAAGCCTGGATCAATCGTCGCGTCGCTTAGTTAGTTCATAACTTTTACGTACTCATATTGCAAGATTTACTTAAGAGTTCAACAGTTTGTCAACACAATATTAAGTACAAATAAACGTATATATATATAATTATATATTCATACATCATTACATATTATTGACTAATAACAGTTTCTTTTTTTAACTCTTCAACATTGTTAAATCCCCTCCTTAAGAATTTGATGTCTTTATCGATGAGTTCGTGTTTCTAAGTTAAGTTTCTACTGGGCACCTCAATGTGATTCCCATTACCTCTGCCTTGATAGAATTGGTATGGGCTTGTAAATAGTAGACTTCCTACGGGCATTACTGTCTGGTGTCTGCGGCAAGCTGACTCGAGGGTGGGTGTGTAATAACTGCAGCCGCCCCGCTAACGTTAACTGCAAAGCTTGGAGTCCCGACTCAAAGTTACTGTTGGCAACCTTGAAGTGAGTGGGATGATGATTCACACACGACAGAAGATTACCGCAACACACTCTCGAGTTGAGCGCTAGGGAGGCACAGGAGCCAATTGTGCAAGGGGCGGCCATTCCAGATCTTAGGCCCAACGGTTGACGAGCACCGCCCGATGAGCTGGTCTCAGTTGTCCCTAATAATCCGTCCATAGGGTGAAAGTGACCTGGCTCAGGCAGAGCCATCGGGCCATTAACAAGACTAAAGTAAGCTGCTGGGCACTTAAACATTGTTTGTAAGGAAGGGTAGGGATGAGAAGGCCAACCTAAATGCTTGTCCATTCCATGACCTTGTCCAACGGTCAGTACTCGAGGAAGCGCTGGAAAAGCCTCACTGAAAGTGAGTTTGAAGGTAGCCAGCCTGTTTCGTGAAGACACTGTGGATCGCCGCCGTAACTTACCCGTGGTGCTACCAATAAACACGTCATCACTGGACGGGTCGAGCATCCAGTAATTACCCTTACCTGGGTCATCATAGTGGCGGGGTACTTTCACGAAACATTTGTTTAAGGATAGGTTGTGCCGAATAGAGTTCTGCCATCCCTGCTTGTTCTCTTTGTAATAGGGAAAAGTTTTCATGATGAACTCATAGATGCCGTTAAGGGTCAGGCGCTTTTCAGGACTTTGACGAATCGCCATCATGATGAGTGCGTTATAGCTGAACGGTGGCTTTTCGTACTTAGGTTTATTCTGTTCCTTCTCATCCTTACTATTGTTCTTACCTTCGTAACTCTTTCCCGGTTTCTGTAACTCGTCTTTCTCACACGGCCGGTGGATGCCATCTTTATCTGCAACTAGCTGATCAAACGAGTTTTGATTGTGAATGAAGTCGCTGGGAGAGTTCATGCCTATGGTTCGGTTACGGACGATAGTTTCATCGTCGTCCATTTTGATGATACTACTGATAGAGAAAGACGTCCGTTCCGGAGTGCACATTATAGCCTCTGACCCTTGTAAGCGTTCTTTACTTTCCATACGCATCGTTATTGTTTTCAACGCAATCGTGCCGGAAGATTTCTTGTTGGACTCCACAATAATATTCAGTTGCTTATTTTCCTTCTTGGTGACAAGCTGGTCGCTTAGGTAACTTGCTAACTTCCACTAACAATGCTAACTTTCAACATTAATTCTAGCCTTTCTATTCTTGCTGACAAACTGGTCACTTACCTAACTTGCTCACTTCCAAAAAAACGACAATAATTTCACCATTACTTATGGCCTTTTCCTTTTTACTGACAAGCTGATTGCTAAGCTGTCTTACTAACTTCCAATAATGACGCTAACGTTCACAATTAGTTGCAGCTTTTCCCAGTAACAGATCTAGATTCTATTATGCTCAACACTTACGTTAACTGAGGGGCGGGGGTATTTTCATTCTAGCGAATCGCTGATCAACAAAACCACCCAAAGCGGCAGGGAGATTTTTTTTTCTAGGTAGACCAATAGGAGTGCAAAGAGAAAGAGCATCGATACTTTGAATTAAATATTAGGGCGGAGTTTAATACACTTAGAATTAAAAAAATTAAAGGTTATTAGGATACAGCGGACCTTAATATGTGGGACAGTCTATTACAAATGTTGCTTTGAATTATATGGCTATTCCTAAACGGGGCAGATATCTATCTAGTCATCTGTCCTTTCGTAAGTTCGAGCTATAGTCTCATTTATATAGGTAACCCGTTTGGCCCAGAGAGAAACTAACTTCATCTCGTTACTAACTGTTTCTAATTCTGAATAATCTTGGGAACATAAATGGATTTGAGAGAATGCTTGAATATTCTAAATCTGAGGTTGAAGTATTTACACCGGAATCACCATTAGTTTTATAACAAAGTTCTATATATAAGATCTTAAGTTTTACGCTGTTTCTTCTATCACACTAACATTACTACTGTAATGAAAAAATTCTGTGCTACATAGATAAAGAGTTACTTCGAAGAACTTACTGTATTATCATATCATGTATATATATACATAGAAAGACAAGTTTTCAAGAATTTCTGGATTTTCATTGTTTCGATTCTACGTCATTTGGAACTAACTTGGCTAACTAGAAAAACACCTTCTTTGTAGCTGGTTTCAGTTTTGTTTATTATGCTTGTACAAAAACCAAACAAAATATAAATGCTGTATATAATATTTGAAATGATGAAGATGTTTTAATCATACTATGGATTTTAAAATACAGCTTGAGCGGTGATAATATGAATTATTTTTCCCACTAAATAGTACTCTAATTTAAATTACCAAGACGTTTTTATACAGCGTCTTTCAGCAGAAATCTTCATTGAAATAAGTTAAAATTATATTTTAATTCAGTATTATCGTTAAAATACTAAAAATTAATATAGTATAATTGAAGAATATATTTTAACATGTTAAAACCATTCACTGTTTAAAGTTACTCACGAAAGGAATGCATAACATTTAAATGCAAACTGTTTCAAATTTGAAAAACGTATGTTTTAAATACGAAATGCAATACTGTCTCGCACTTATATAAAGAGCATTGTAAAGCTTCAAACTGAAGTAAAAAAGGGTAAGACAGCGTTCAAAATGTACAAATAACAGCCTTATAAACATATCACACGTTCTTTGTTGGAATACTAGTTTAAAGGTCGATACTGTTATTTTTGTTTTTAGTGTAACCGAAACGTTATACAATTTCAAGACAATAAGAATAAATTAACGAAGGAAAACATGCTTTAAAAATAACAGAATGTTAGCAACACAGACGTTCACTTACATATTGTCTTAACATGCTATAAGCTCTATTTCGTTGAAAAAATACGTTTGACCAAGGGTAAATAAGTTAAGTACTTAATACCTGGGCTAGTTTATTAAAACTCTATTAAATATGATTGAACAGACTACTTACGTATACTATGTCTCGTTAAATAAATGTCTCGTTGAATAAATAAGTTTTAACGTACTAGTTATATAAATTCTGTCCCGTTAACGAACCTTCGATTAAACGAAATTAAATCAGCTTGCTTTGTTAACATTATTTCGTTAGTGAACACTTTTAAAACCAAGTGATTTAAATAATGCTCTGCATGTAAAAACTTGGTTAAGCCAGACAAAATAAGCTACTTCCCAAGAAATAAAACAGGGTTCGATTCCGCTCGGTGGACACAGCTTGAAGTGGCTTTGCTATGAGAAACCACACACAGATTCCAAGAAATAATCATTATTGCATTAATGAACACTTTTAAAACCAAGTGGCACAGATTTAAATCATGCTTTGCCAATAAAAAATTTTGATTAAGCCAGACCAAGTAAGCTGGTTACCAATACATAAGAATTATTGCATTAATGAACACTGTTTTAAACCAAGTAACACGGACTTAAATCATACTTTGACGATAAAAATCTTGATTAAGCCAGCCCAAGTAAGCTGGTTACCAATACATAAGAATTATTACATTAATGAACACTGTTTTAAACCAAGTAACATGGACTTAAATCATACTTTGACGATAAAAATCTTGATTAAGCCAGACCAAGTAAGCTGGTTACCAATACATAAGAATTATTGCATTAATGAACACTGTTTTAAACCAAGTAACACAGATTTAAATCATACTTTGCTGATAAAAATCTTGATTAAGCCAGACCAAGTAAGCTGGTTACCAATAAATAAGAACTGGTGTATTAATGTAGCTATAGCTACTTAAATATCCCTCATTAATGAACACTTTATAAAACTAAAGTTATAGCTTTCTAAGTCAGACTTCGTTAATGAACACTCGATAAAATCATATTAATGCAGCAGTCACTAAGTAAGTTACACCTTGTTAAAGAACATTTAATAAAACCATAAGAATTAATCTTTATATTCCTAAGTTGCTGCTCGTTAATGAACACTTGATAAAACCGTATTAATTATGACCACCTAAGTAACACCTCGTTAATTATTGGCGTTGTTCTTTGATTAATTTTTCAAAACTGCTTTAAGGCTACATGCGATAGGAATTCCTAATTTTGAAGTGATAGACTAGAGGGAAGGCAGCTTATCAATACCATCTGCCGCCAACTTATGAACTACCGTGAACAAATAGTGGAATTTGACCGTTAATCTTACAACGCACACACAGCCCGAAAATACGTATCGCGATTTTTTAAATTTTTGTGGTGACGGAATCTAGAGACTGGTACTTTAACCACTGAGCTGTGCTCAGATCCACTTTGTTCATTTGTACTTGATAATACCATATTAAGTAAGTTAAGACTTACGTTATAGCTTGTTAATGAATACTTGATAAAAGTATATTATTTAGCTATGAACACTCGATAACACCGTATTCATTAAGTAATGACTTCCTACATTATACGTCATTAATGGACACTTGATAAAACCATATTAATTAAGCTATAACTACTCAAGAACATCTTGCTAATAAGCAAATTAATTAAACCAGATTAAACAAACTATAGCTACCTAAGTTAGACTTCTTTAATGAACACTTGGCAAAACTATATTAGTTAGCTATGAATACCCAAACAACACATCTTTAATCAACAAATTATAAAACAATATTAATTTAACAATGACTATCTATGTAATACGTCCATAACTGTTATTGTTGGTGTTTGACGAATTTTGCGCAAAGCTACTCAAGGGCTATTTACGCTAGCAAGTCGTAAGTTTTAAGTGAGAGACTAGGAGTAAGGCATCAACAGCCAATTCGTGGGTTGCTCTACTCGAATTATGGGATTTGACTGTCGCTCTTAGAAAACAGCCACTACCCTAAAGTTCCGAGAGCAGTTTTTAGGGTTTTTTGGGGGGAGGGGGGGTAGTAATGACGCCAGAATCGCGGGATCTCGGATCCACAGTCGGGTACGCTAACCAAGGGTTGTTCTTAACCCCACCTTATTAATGTAAACCCTATTAAACTACGACTACCTAACTTACACCTCGTTAATTAACCCTTGACAAAATCATATTAGTTAAACTTTGACTTTCTATGTTACACCTGACTGAGGACATTTAATATGAATTAGGTTATATGTACCTAAGTTGAACTTTGTTTGTGCACACTTAAAATAACATCAAATTAATTAAACTATGGCTATTTAAGTTACATCTCCTTACTGTACACTTGATAAAACGATATTAATTAAAGCACAGATATCTAAGTTACGCCCCCCAGTGGCACAGCGGTATGTTTGTACATTTATACTGCAAAAAACCGGGTTTCGATACTCGTGGTGGGCAAAGCACAGATAGCCATTTGCGTAGCTTTGCGCTTCATAACAAACAATGTAAGTTACACCTCATAAAAGAGCACTTCATAAACTTATATTTATTAAGCCAAGACTAAGTAAGTTATCCTTTTTAAATAAACACTTCATAAACTTATGTTTATTAGGCCAAGACTAAGTAAGTTATCCTTTTTAAATGAACACTTCATAAACTTATATTTATTAAGCCAAGACTAAGTAAGTTATCCTTTTTAAATGAACACTTCATAAACTTATATTTATTAAGCCAAGACTAAGTAAGTTATCCTTTTTAAATGAACACTTCATAAACTTATATTTATTAAGCCAAGACTAAGTAAGTTATCCTTTTTAAATGAACACTTCATAAACTTATGTTTATTAGGCCAAGACTAAGTAAGTTATCCTTTTTAAATGAACACTTCATAAAACCATATTAATTAAGTTATAACTAAATAATTAATTTCTCATTAATTAATGTTAATTAACAATAGCTAAGCTATTCTTCTTTAATGAACACTTGATAAATTTCTATTTGCACTAAATGAATGACATCTTGTTGACGAACACTCGATAAAATCGAATTAGTTAAGGTATGACTACAAAATTCACACGTCGTTAATAAACACTTGTTAAGGTATGACTACAAAATTCACACGTCGTTAATAAACACTTGTTAAGGTATGACTACAAAATTCACACGTCGTTAATAAACACTTGTTAAGGTATGATTAAAAAATTCACACGTCGTTAATAAA